GATACAAAGGAGGTTACCAGTTCAAAAAAAAAAAAAATTATATTGACCCAGAGAGGACCCTGAAATTGACCATGACATTATTTTGCCACTCGGCATTTTAAAGCTTGTGTTTCTCCATGAATTTTACATATTAAAAAAAATTAAGTTAAAAGAAAAATTAAGTTAAAAGTAAATAATCAAATATACATGGATATCGACATGTACTTTTATTTATGTAATGTGCGTGACTAACGTACGTGCGCTTTTACAGTTTCTGTTTATTTTTTTCAGTAGAATTTAATGGAAAAAATTAATTATTGCCATGAATTCAAGCATATAATCATCACTGAGGAAACAATTTTTAGAAACACTTTTGAACATTAAACAATGCATCATGTACTAACGTACATATGTACAAGCACTTATATATGCTATAGATATAATTCGTTTGTTTCTGGGTATAAACTAATATTTTATGTTAATATGTTTTTTTTCTGTTTTCTGATGGATATGAGCAGTACCTAGCACTTTGATGACTTATAAACAACAACGACCAATGTTCAACTACAATAAGTTTGATCTACTTGTTAAGTTTAATGCGTTGAACATCCGTATGCAATTATATTGACTATGTACGTATATTTATGCATTATTGGCATATACATTAGGGTGGTGCAACAATGAACAAGAAAATACACATTTTTGAATTTACTTGTTGCTTCCCCATCCAAAGGCTGTTGTTGCTCGCTCCTCTTCGTTCGTTGAGTTTTATAAAAACGAGGAGGAATCCGGACCCGTGGGATAATTGATAGATCAGCTACGCAATCACGTGTTGAGGGGCAAGAATCGTCAAACTCACACTTCTAGTTTGTCCTTTTCTAACGAATCTTAAACCGTGGTAAACTACCGGTAATTGACCCCATTCTTCTGCGCTTGTTTTTGTTGATTATCTTTGTAAGTTCTCTATTCTCTAAGATCAGCTGCTATTATCCTAGCATAACTACAAAAGTTTGTCGGTCTGTTATGTCGCCGGCTAACTTTCTATCTACATGAGAAAAGGATTTATCCCGGAGACTTGGAGGGCTGTAAGGAAAAAACTGTCCTAAGGATTTCTGGCCAATCAATAGCGGCTCTATTTTTCCTATTGCAGACGTTCGGGAGACTGATTTACTGCCTGACTATTTTCGTAGTCAAGAACATCTTAGTAAAACTTTCGCATGATGCGCGACAGATTCTTCGTCGTCCTTGAAGAGTTGGAAATAAATAGCTGCTATCATACCAATTAAGTATGTTGTATGTGGTCATTGTCTAGTGAAAGATAGCGCTTCCAAGAACCAGCGTGGCACTCCGGACTAAAGATGGGCTCGGTACTAAAAATTCAATCCCAATCCGGCCATCTTGTCATGGTGCGGTTGCTCTATCCTACATAGCTGAGAGATGGCAGCCTTGGGATCGCCTATCTTGACAAAATGGGTATTTGAGCCAGAAGTATTAGCTGCTGCTTGGAGGATGACTAGATGAAATCGAGAAGTTTATATTTTATTGAGAAGTTTACAGTAGAGAGAAAATAAAAAGTTGAAATTTCTTTGTCCCTGCCTAAACCGACAAATGCTTGCTACGCCAAATAAGAAGAAAAAATGACGCATTCTTCGGTGTCATTTTTCATTCTCAGCATTCTCAACGATAAATGACACTGAAGATTACACAATGCCGACAGCGGTTTGTCTATAAACCAAAATTTACAAGGTATGACAGGAATTCAATCGATCAAAAATGCATCAAAGCTAAGCTTACTTTGAGCGCGCTTATAACTCATAAACGCGGGGTACAGTTGTGTTCCAAAAAATAGTAGTACGACGGCGCATGACATGTTCTGCTGTTGAGATAAAATAACTTAAATTAGAATATAACAAACAGGAAACTAAAGAAAGAAATCGATATTTTTATTTCATTTTGCCATTTTATGAGGCATTTCCGTGTTTGGAACAAAAAACAGCCGTTCACAAAAAATTGTTGGTGTTTATTTTGAGAAGATCTAACATTTTACGAAATAAAAATGTCTTCATAATTAGAGGCTTTAGGTTAGGTTTACTATTTTTCAGGGACCGAACATAACATTTATGAATGAAAAGTGTCATTGAAAAATTCACTATGAGGGAAATGTTGTACAACTAAGTGTTATATTCCAGGAGATTTGCTTTTAACCGAGAATCTAATTTCAAAATAAATTTTTTTTTTTTTTTTAATTTTTATGCAAAATTAAAAAAAAAAGTAGCCATTATTTTTGATTTTTATTTTATAAATCCAAAAAAAACAGTTATTTTAGCAGCCTTATTTATTTAGATGCTTATAAATATTAACTGGAAGTAATTTAGCGCCCTCAGTTATTGAAATATCGGGGCTTTCATATTTCTGATATATACCGTTACATATACGGGAAGCGGGTGTAATTTTAGGGTGAAGTGAATAATTTTTAACAAATTGTTTTTCCGTACCAAGGTTATAAAGTGCATCGATTTTGGTTGAATTTAATACACATTTGTGGTCATAAGTGGGCGGCGCCACGCCCATTGTCCAAAAATTTCTAATAATTTAATTTTATGCTAAGTAGTTATTTAAATAATCGATTTTAAGTGAATTTGGTTCAGTAGATACTGAAATTACCATTATATGGCAAGCAAGCGTGGTTATTGGCCGATTTCAAACATCTTCAACAGATTTCTTAGCTAGTTCCTAGGCAACGCCCGCAGTTCTAGTTAGGTAACGATTTGTGAAACGGCTACTGAGATATAGTTTTTTATTATAAGTGGCCGGGGTCACGCTCATTTTCCAAAAATTTCATAATAATATTATTTTAAACCAAAATTTTACTCCAAATAAAAATTTTTAACAATTTGGATCCGATATTTACTGAAATATAGTAGTTGTTGCTTTTTTCGAAAATACCGTTATATGGGAAGTGGACGTGGTTACAGGATAAAGAGCAACTAACATATCAAATTTCGTTGAGAAATCTAAATTTTTGCTTGAGTCTTCGTGCACACGGACGGACGGACAGACGAACAGACAGACATGGCTTAATCGTTTCATTTTGAGCATTTATGTATATATTTGTCTATATCTATCTCGATTCGTTTTGGCTGTTACAAACAACCGTTATGTGAACAAAGTTATAATACCCTTGCGCACAAGTGCGTTCGGGTATAAAAACAATAATCTAAAAAATTCGGAAAGAGAATTAGGCTTAAATCCGCGTTAGACGCTATCAGGATCTTAGCGGCCCTCTGGAACATCAAAATGTATCTCAATTGGAGTGAAAAAGGGAATTTAATAAAAGATACCAGACACACAATTTTTTTGAACACAACCGTACATACAAAACTGTTAACCGTTCTACCTCCGCTTCCCCGAAATTGTTTTTAAATGGAACTTATAATTTGTTTTTTTTTTACTTTTGCAGAAAATAATATATATTAATATTTTTTCTTTTGTCATTTTATAAGACCAAGCAGATATAAATCCACGCCACCTGGCATACACTCTACAAAAACCTTAAATTGTTTCCTCCATCAGCCACTTTCACTCATCGCCAAATATCTATGCATTTCAACTAGTCAGTTTGAAAAATTTTTCTAAGCCAACATATACGGCTACACTAATCCGACAACCTTCACCTCCAACCCAAATTTCAATAATAAACAGTGCACTGGCTATGCTCATGTAAACAGCAAGCTTCTAATCAAAATCCAACAAATTATCAAAGGCACGGCAGCTCAGCAAACGAATTTGCATTAAATTTGCATAGAAGAAGGCAAAAGAAAAAATATATTCTTATACTACCAGAACAAGTGCGGTCCAAATCAAAATGTTGTGATATGATATGAAGCCGTGGAATTTATGTGCAACACGCTGCCACAGCTGCCACATAAATTCCCACCCGGCGTAGGGGAAGTAGAAAAAGAAAACCACAAATAACATAGCACAAGTTAGAAAAACCAACAAACCAAATGCCGATAGAAATCGCAAAGGTATGTGGCCACAAAAAAAAAAAAAAAAAAAAACAATTATTTGCCCTTCTGTCAGCGTTCAATAAAAAGCCAATAAATTGTGTAGCACTGTTAGACAAGTTGCAAATGCCTTTAAAAACAGCAAATATGGCGAAGATGTGTACTTAAGTGAAATAGTAAGTAGCAAAAAGTCGTAATGCATTCACCAAAACTGTATTGAACTGCGTTTAGCTGCGTCGAAGCAAGCAGCTTGTAAACATGATTCTCTTTGTACGCCGACAAGCTGCTACGCTTCTTCTTGACAACAAAAAAAAAAACGAAAACATACAAAAATTTAAAAACAGTAGCGTAAACAACTAAAAATTAATTACCTGCTCGTAAGTAGCGCATGCGCCAACCATAAAACAACACAACAACAAAAACAGTACACTTGCAAATAAAGCTCCAGCTCCAGCTACAGCAGCTCTGTCTCGGCTGCAGCTTTCAAGATACAGCTGCCGCGATAAGCCGCTGTAGTTACACTATCTGAAATGCACACGAGCTAATCTATAGGAAAATTCTTACAAATTTGTTGTTCTTAATAATGATTGTTGTTGGTGTTGTTACTTCGATTTATGTACGCTTGTTAACCGAGTATTTGTACAGGAAATGCAAGAGCCATGGCTTCAGAGCAACATTATTTATACGCCACCTCACACTAACCGCACACAATTTATATGTATACATATGTATGACCCGACCGATAAGCGATGCCATCGTTAAGTTTGGATGATCTTCTTAGCAAATAATGCGCTTACATGCATATGTACGTGCACTTATGTTGGTAGCCCCACTGTTTAGCCCGAAGGCGGTGTTTAGGGCAGCAAAATGCACTTCATAGGCATAAATAACATTGCCTTCTAGAATAAACATGGGCAAGCAGTTCCTCCTCTACTCCACACCCTTCATTGTTTCCGCGATTGTGCGAGGCTTTCCACCGGCAGCGGCACCACGCGTAGGTGTTTGTATAAATACAATGCATTGATGCTGCTGGAATTTAGTTACGTCGCGGCCTCTAAGGGATTACCTGTGTGCTAAGTCTGTCTTTCAGTTAAATACGAATACTTTTACTTACTCTCAGTTATTGACGTCATTGTTGATAGTGGTGACACTACTAAGATTTAGCATTGTACAAATATCTGCGAAAACTCTCACCGCATACTTATAGCATTTCCAGCTGGAAAGCTTGAAATTTTATTCAATCACTAAAATGTTCCACAAATCGGTAGCTGCTTCATTGCAATATAATCGCTGATGGGAAAATTGTCACACCGCGCTGTCTATTGTCATTGGTGAACTATTAAAAATTGTATTGACATTAATTACAACTACAAAAAGTGTGCGGAAAAATAGTTCCGGTGCGGCGACGAGTGTTTTAACTTCCAATGGATAAATCAAATTTCCGGGTAAAGCTAAGAATTTTCATATATATAGTGTACTCGTATTATGTAATGGACGTCTTGACGAAATTATCTTCAACTTTGGATTTATGTTAAAAATTTAATAGTAATATTTTGGCGCTTACACGCTTGCTATGTATTTGGCCGAGCATCGCCTCCAATTTGTGTTGTGCGTTCTGTCATTATAAAACAAGTGGAGCGACGTACAATTTTACTCCGCCTTCAAATGGCAAATGGATTTGAGGGAAAGCTTTTTCATACCAGAAATGCACTCGGAGGTCTGCCATTGCCTGCCGCTCTTGAAAAAACTTTTCCTATTTTACATAGATGTTGCTCGCAGCGGGGTCGAACCCAGGTTCTACGGAGTGGTAGTACGCACCCCTAACCACTCAGCCACAGCGGCCCCCATAGGGATAACTATCTCAATTATGAGCCTTTATGTAAGCGATAACTCGCATAGCGGCCAGGCAAATCTACTCTTCTGCATTACTCTTGTCCAGGCTAAAATTAATTGAATGCCGGTGTGCTGTAAAGGGATTGTCAATTAACCCATTGAAGTTCACCATTGTTCAATTCACCGAAATTCAACTTGACTAAACCCCCGGAAAAAATTGAGTTCTCAGAGTAGACGAAGTATCCAGGAGTAACAAAAGGATCAATTTAAACCCACGTTACTCGAATAATACCCAAAAGGCTAGAAGGGCGTTTTATGTCTGCCACAGATTTCATAGTAAAACATGGGGACTACTAACGAAACTGAGGTATTGGTCTTTCAGTACTGTCGCTGCTGGAACGCCCTATGGCTGCCCGGTAAAGGTGGAGATTTTCGGGCTCATTTGGGGATTCCTGAATGATCCCCCTATAAATCTCACAGCCATCATGCCAGTAGAATTATCCTACTACAAGCTCATCCCTGTTTTTCATATTTTTCTCCAAAGTAAGTAAATAACACACAAATCTCCATATTATCTAGAATAACTATTATAACTTGGAGGCCTTTTGAAAATCTTTACGGAGCACAGTGTTTCGACTATATGAAAGCAGGTGGAAAAAAATTATGGTGACAATTGAATAAAAAAAAAAAACGGCTCGTATTACAAAGGGAAAAGTAAATTTCATAAGTACAAAATTTCCCATCAATTACTCACTCCACCTCTCTACGAACGGTGCGTTTCCAAAGAAATCTAAAGAATCAATTCTTTAAGTTAATGTATTTATTACTTATTTAGTACTTTCGTCTTTTATCAAAAAAAACTGACTTGAAAATGTAGATGCTAAATATTATTATGCCACAGGTTTTAATGGCAGAGGTGGGCATTATAAAAGACCTGTGCGTTGAGAAAAATTTTCATCAAATTCATTTCTACATACATGCAGTGGAAATTCGACATTAGTAAAAAAAGTGGGAACCGGTTCGTCAGTTCCTGAAATTAATCGCACGTTTTAGCAAATTTAATGTAATTTTCGACATTAATTTTTCGACTTTCACTTTCTTTTTGCGAGAAGAATTTTTTGAGCAACGGAAAAATCACACCAAATATTAGGAAAGTGGGAATATTTGCACCTATGTTATTCCTATGCTATAACCACTTTTTCTTGGGTGGAAAGCAGAGAACACAAATTAACTGAAATTCCATCATATTTAATGATTGGACGCACATTTTTTGCGAGTTGTAGATGTTAAAGTAATCCGATCTTCCCCATATTTCACATTTAGGGTTTTCTAATAAAATGGAGAGTACAAACTCGAAACCGGTTGAAATTATATATTTCTGGCCACAAGAGTGGAGGGCGTGGCAATTGTCCCATCTTTAACAAATTTCACAATTGCCAGTTCCTAAGAAAAATCAGAGCACATGTAAATTTTCTGTGAAATCGGTGCACGTTAACTATTATTTCCACCAACCTCCATATATTTACTTAGGCGTGGCGTGTTGGTTTAGTAGGAGGCGGTTAACACCATTCATGTCGGCTGAGTTTGCGTTAGTAGACTCCTTGTTCTTCGTTCATTGAGCCGTGGCCAGAGGGAGCGCGATACCTTGCAGGTGTGCAGATGGTCGCTGCCATAGAAGAGTCTCTCGACTTCTGAAGACAGAAATCGCAGGGGAGGTGTCACGATCTGGATCGCTTCTCCGAGCCACATCTCATATCCCTATCTAGAATATTCGTCCGTTTCCTCATTTTGCAGTAGAGCTTGTAGGGATCTTCGGTATTCTTTAACGCATATCGCGTTAATTGTTGCCGACCCGAAGGCTTTGATAGCCGCGTGACTGTCAACAAGGAAGGCAAGTTTAGATGGAGTTTGGTCGATCATGCTCGTCGACCTTTCCGCCATGTGGATTTCATACATTTTAGCCTGAAAAATGCAGCAGTGATCTGGGAGTCTATAGGCTATCTCAGAGATAACTCCAGAGAGTAGATGCCAGATCCTGTTCCGATATCCAATTTAGAGCCGTCCGCGAAAATGGGTATTTCGCCATCGCTGAGAGCAATTCGACGTTTCCGTCAAGCTGAGAACTGTTTTATTTTTTGCAGTTATGTTGGTACAAAAACACCGTTTATTTTGAAGAAATAATTCCGCCAAGTATTTGCATGTTGCGTTCATTCCAAAACATAATCACTTAATTATATTCGTTAATTCGAGTAATACAAACAACAGCTTAATATTTTTTTTTTTTTTTTACCCTCAGTCGTGCATTTATTATTTGTTGTACTTGCCAGTATTACTTTTGTTTTGGACATTACTTGCGATTACCTTTACATTGACTTTCAGCTCTTGGCCGGGTTAGTAATATCGCTCAGCTTGTCGCAGCATACATGCCGCTGTCAATCGAATACACTCTTCAATCAATCACCATTCCAGCGACAACAGAATACGCAATTACGTCAACAGTTACAGCAACAGCAGCAGCAGCAACAGCAACCACGCCAACAGCAGCAAGGTTTTCCGAATACCTTAAATACGCTGCAGCCGCTTGGAACAGCGCTGGGTGGCATATCGCCCATCTCACCACTCACTGGCATAGGAGCGCAGGTGAGTGCAGCAAATGATTACCACATTTTACTATGATCTAGCATACTTAAAATTGATTGTTTATTAAAGAACCCGTTTCGCATCTACAACCGCCTTGACCAACAGAACTATGTGCCCATTACCGCCTATCAGAACGATCTCAATTATGACGGCAGCTTTTCATATGGTTACGCCTCAGCAGATGGCACTACCGCGCAGGCGCAGGGGTATGTGAAAAATCTTGGCTTAGGCGAAGATGTCGAAGCGCAGGTGGTGCAAGGTTCATACTCGTATACCTCACCGGAGGGCACGCCCATCACTGTACGCTATATAGCGGATGAGAATGGTTAATTTGTGTTTGCACATTATTTTGTAAAGCACTACTACTTCATTTTTTTTTTTTTGTATTTTTCAAGCAGGCTTTCGCGCTGAGGGTGCGCACATTCCCACACCACCACCCATACCCGACGCAATTGCCAAGTCGCTGCAGTACATATCGAGCGTACAACCTTACCAGCAAGGAATAAATCCCAATTTGAATCCATATCAAACACCTTTTCGCCAATTTTCTGGCGGCGGCCAGCCTCTACGTCCAGGCCAACAGCAACAGCTAACACCTTTTCAATTGCAACAACAACAGCAACGCACATATCAACAGCAACTTGCTGGACAATTGCAGCCACCATTTGCGCAATTCCCTGGCGTCCAACAACAACAACAACAATCGAATGCGTTCTTTGGCGGTGGTTTGGCTGGTCAGGCCCAATTGCCAGGTCAGCTGGGTGATTTGAGTGGGCAAAACTTTACGCAACAACCACAGAATTTGCAGCAAGACCAACAACAGCAACAGAAGCTTCAACAACAACAGCAACACAACCAGCAGCAGCAACAGCAACAACAACAGCAATTAGCCACACAAGAATTGCGCGCACGCCCCAATCAATTGGTGAACCCTTTTGGCTACAATCAGTATCGCCGTTACAAAAAGGCGGTGGCGTCGAAAAATTAAATACACAACAACAATTGGAACAAAACAGCGAGGAACGAGTTACCAAAAAAATCGTATTACATTCGCTGTATGCAGGTTTATGCTTCAATTTTTTACTGTGTTGTTTCGTAATTTATTTTGTCGAACGTGCTGGGTTTGCGTAAGGATAATAAGTATGAATTTATTTTGGTTTTAATTAATTTTTTAGTATAGTTTTTAAAGTATACATGTAAGTATGTCGATATGAAATGAATTAGTCATTTTTTTTAGTGATTCAAATACATGAAACACATGTGCGTGGAAAATCATTTTAATATGTTTTATTGATTTATCCAATTTTGTTACTACTATTTACTAGCTTTCAAATTTTTAGGTAACAAGATGAAGTAGCTCTTAGAAATTTATTTAATTGCTGAACGCAAATATTCAAAAACAGGGTTTGATCTGATTAATTTATACCCGAAGATTGGAGTCATAGTGCATTTTTCTTAAGACACGGTTTTCCTGAAGTCACTTACTGTGAGCCTTTTTTTGATTATGCGTTGGACAGGCTTGCGCCTCAAAGCGATCTCCTTCGCAAGCTGATATAGTACACTACACGTTTTGTTTCGATGAAGTCGTAGACTTACCTTTTCAACTTCATTAGCTGTTGTCGCAGTGCATCGTCGGCCACTTCCGTAGCGTTAATAATTCCAGTCTCCTTAAATCGTTTAGTGGTACGCTTGGCTGGTCTCTTTCATTTTAAGGCCTACAACCAAGTTTCTTTAATTTCCCAGGTTTAAAAGCATGTCTGCAAAAATAGCTTTGTAAAATGTGAGCATTGCCAGATCGAATGATTTTGCGAAATGGTAATACTTTTGAAACTTGAATTGCATCAACCTCTATATAATTACATTTGTCCGTTTGTCTAAAAATCTAGAAACACTCCTGACGTGTACTGTCTTGAGACCATACATTTAGATCGGTAAACATCTATACCGCTTCGAACTCCTTTTGACTAGCGCCGTACGTAGGTAACATTCCCATCCGGTACGTCGTTAACTTAGAACTGCAGGGTGTATGCAGATTTCCCGTTTCTTTAGACTAAGAAGAATCTTAGTGCGTTCACCATTCATGAATTAATAAAGTGGATTCCACCCGCCATCTTTCGTTAGCAATGTTAATTTTTAATTTCCATAATTGAACTTCAATATACAGAAATTTCGTGCCATGGCCAGTGTTGCCACTCAGCCATGTATTTTTCCTACCAAAATCCCTACCAAAAGACTTCAAAACTGAGCAAAAGTAAAGTTTTGTATCATGATCTAAAAGGGCTTGGTAAAGATTTTGTCCGGCCAAAGGTCTGCCGCCATTAACAGGTTCACGGGGCAATACTTTGTTACCAGCTTATGAGATAGTAACAAAATTTACCGCTTACAAGAGTACACAGAATTTGAAAAGGGGTTAAAATTTGACAAGAACTTAATTTACCGGTTACAAAGCTTTTATTACCAGCGCAGAATATACCTGTAAGTGATCCATTTTTGATTCCTCCATCCAACCATTTTTGTTTTATATTTCTTAATTTTTAACCGACTTCAGAAAAGGAGGAGGTTATGAATTCTTCGGAATATTTTTTAAGGAATGGTGGTACCTCAGATGTGGTCACACACTAATTTGGTTTAGATCCCATTATTGGATCATGAAGAACTTAACGGTAATATTAAATGTTTATATGAGAAGGGAAGTCGGTTTAGATTTTTGCATATACATTTTTTTTTCACGTCAAAAAACGTAGCCAAATTCGTTGATCTAGTCAGCATTTGGAGAAGTATAAGTAAACCTTGTATATTTTGTATTGTACAGATTTCGATACAAAACGGTTTAAGCTTTTAGTCATATTCTATGTATTTTTTTTTGGTCTATGAAATGAATTTAGATAAGGGATGGTGGAAGCTCGTTCCAAATTCACCAACTTCTGATCCTGTCGAAAGAATCAAATACGAATAAAGCTAGTGCGAAGCTTAGTTTTGCAAACTCTGTTTAGTGGAACAGCTGTAGATTTTGGTGGTACGCAGGACTTCATCATTATAGTTGTAGTTATAAAAAGTCCAGGTAATCCAGTATAACTAATGCATACAAGCTTTGGGCAGGTCGCACATGCTCCCTGAAAGTTTACTGACTTAAAACCTCAGAAAATCCAACAAAAATTGTCTACCTGAAAATCAAGCAAGTGGAACGTGAACCATCTGACTAACTGTTCTATACAGACACCGCCAACTTTCTTATGGAGCTTTGACCTAGCCGTGCAGACTTGCATTGAAACTTTTTTGCTGACCGCGTCATTTTTTTCATTCCTTCGAGGAAGTCGCGTAATTAGTTTGGCATTGGTAGTATGGGAAATTCTGTTAGATCCGTCATAACGGACGCCAACGGCTGATGCGATTATGACTTCATTTATTGACCGAATTTAGTAGTTCCATTGCAACTATCTTGGACTGCAAACCCCAACTTTCAGTGTGCTGTCTAGGACCACGCCTTGTTTGTTTAGTCCTCTCTAATATCACACCACATAAGCTGACAAAGGATGTGATGCTCTCCAAATAAAACCACCAAGTAGAATATTAGTTCATGTGTCTATATTTATGTTTGCCCATATCCAGAATGACGGCGTGGCCAGCTTATGCAATCACTTTTCCTCCGTTCGGCGATGTTCCATAGCAGATATGTGAAAATTTTGTTTGAGAACAAACTGGTTTCGACACTGTGCTATTCTTAGTGTACGTTTTGGTTGGTTGGTACAAGAAGGGTTAATAAATAGATGCAAGCTTTCGAAAGCTTTGCACTCCTACAAACGTTCATAAGTTGCTGCACAAATTTCAAGCCTGCTTTTAGGATGAATGCCCAACAAAGCGTGTGCGAAATAAACACATTTGTATGTCTGTACAAATGGCACTTTTATTCAACTGCAGTTTTAAGCTTGTATGTATTTTTCTTCATTTCAGTGCAAAAGAATAATGTATCCATTCTCCGAACTAGTAAACCCCAATTTTTCAGTACTTATTATCTTTTGCCAAAATCGATACAAGACCGGTGGAAACTAGATCCGTACCAGTCCAAAATCATTGAAATATGTTGCTTGATAAAAGCATTTTATTTTACTTTTTAAAACTATGTACATATCGATGGTCCTCTACAATAACGACGCAACTCAAAGGATAACAGTTTTCAGTGGAACCAATCAAAAGTTTTTGCGGTGACAGAAACACAATGCAACTAACAAATTTGACAACTAACTGCATAACGAATTTGATAATAAGAATAAAAAGCAACACTGCAGAGTGAACATCTGGTTAAAATAAAAGTACTAAAAAATATAACTACATTTTTTATTTTGTTTGGCGTTGTAACCTCCTAAGAGATTTTGGTCCAGTTCAACAAAGCATGCCAGTCGTTTCTGTTCTGTCTCAACTGACGCCAATGAGAGCTGAGACATGTCCTTCTCTACCTAGTCTTTCTATTGCAGAGAAGAACTGGTTTCGAATTGAATATTATAATTTTTTTCAACAAAATAATAACAATGAGATTTTTGATAATGTCTTTTTTATCATTTTTTAAAGATAGATTTAAGAAAAACTTAAATAACTCAGCCAAAACTACACTTATTTGGACTGATGTATCGTTGGAAAGGTATTTTTTCTTCCTTTTTATTTCTTTGCAAATACACTCATTTGAAGTATGAAAGAGGAGGATAGGATGTGTTGTTACGTTAAATAGTTTATTTACACAGAAATAAAAAGGATGAAAAAATACTTTTACTGAGATATTTGAGTTTTCCTCTTTGAGAAAAGTTCAAAAACAGCATCAAAAATCTCATTATTATGATTCCGTTGAAATTCTTTTCTAAATACAATTATACCATTTTTTTAAGTTTAAACTGTTTTGTTATCCTAGGCGGTTTTTTTCAAAAAATACTAAAAAATTATTTTTGTTCATAAAAAACTCAGTTTTTTTAGGTATATTTTCAAATCGGTCCAGCTCACGTAAGTCTCAATATTTTTTCCGAAAAATTTTGGCGCAAGTCTTCAAATATAAAGATTTTATAATTCCAATGGAAAAACAGTACCGATTTTTTTTTTAATGTGGAGTGATGCAGTCTAATGTACATAAATTATTAATTCCTCTTCTCGTACATACTACGAAATTTAATATATGCATACATACGTACATACAAAATAACCTAAAAATAATTTTTGGTGCCAATTTATCTTTTATTCATAAACTCAGCTTCGTACCTTTACGGCCACATAAGTGCTTAATAAGCTTTGTTTAATGATAATAAATTATGTAGAAATCGTTTGTGTGAAAATGTAGATGAAAAAAGAAAATTTATTCAGAATGTTTGGAAAATATTGTCATTTTACATATACATATATATATATACATACATACATACTTACTTTAATTTATACATTTATCGTTTGTTATTTTTTATGAGATTATATTTTTTCTTCTAAGTTTCAAATATTTGCATTCTATCTCAAAATAAAGTTTCTGCTTACAACTCAAGTGAAGATGATGAGAAAAAAGGTGCAAAAATTAAAATATGCGCGCATTCAGATTTTTTATAGCAAAAACGTGACAAACGCTTGGCTTCGTAATGTCAATAGATAGCAAGTAGGTGAGGTTAAGAAAAAAAGTGAGAAAATACCGCAATGCAATTGTTCAGCAAATGATCTCGTTACTTGTTAAATGCATCAAAAATGGATTTCTAAAATTAATTTATGTAAAATGTTCATGATTAAATTAATTTATATCATTTACATAAACGAGTATTTATGACAATATTTAAAAATATTAATATTTCGTCCGCGTTGATTAGCAAAAATAAGAACCTAACTCAAAGGTGAAATAAATTTCAAAGGCAACATGAAGTTGAAAACTTATGACCTTCATATTTTTGAAAATTAAAATTCTCCACCCGGAAATTTAGCTAACAAAATATCAATTAATACTCCTATTTATATTAGAGTTATCTATTTTACTAGATACAATATATGTTTGCACGCCCTTAACGGTCACGCGTACTTACCCTGTGGGGAAAACTCTAGTTCTGAACTGGGGCGCTCTTTTGCATGCAAGCAACTGGCGAATTTAACATGGCGATGTCCTAGGAAGTGTCAATTGCCCCCCGCTGCATCCCTTTTTCGATAGTTCCGAACTATACCTAAATTCTATAGTTCCGAACCAGTTATAAAATCGACAGACGAAAGAAAAAGGTATTATGATTTTTCAATCTTTTCGGTTCGTCCGTGTGCGATTTTACATT